ATCACTGCAGATAACCCTGCCGTTATCACCGATCACTGCAGATAACCCTGCTGTTATCACCGATCACTGCTGTCAGCCTCATTCGCCCTCGCCATCCTGCACCTGGTTCCCTTTTATACCCCCTCATTTGTTGCCTGCCCCTAAGTGACCAGAAGGAGTCCAAAGTGGCCCACTTCCTTGAAACTGCCACAGCCGGTGCGCTGGAATGCCTCGAAGGGGAGGGAGTTCCAGTGGCGCTGAGGGAACCGCGACAAATTCCCAAGTCAGGGAGATGGTGAGTGGCTCAGAAGGGGTTGGGGAACGTGGGCTCCAAATCGTCCACCCAGGTGGGTGGTAGTGAGCTGGGGGTCTAATACAGCAGCAGTGGACTGTAGTGGCTGCAAACTCTACACTTGATATTCCCTTCGAAACCCCAAGTAGAGAGAGTGAGCAACGTGGGGGTGGGGGGGTGGATGTGAAAACCATCTCCCTGGCTATTTGTCCCCCACGTGTGGCACAGAAACACGACCATTTAACAGTAGATGGCAGCATTGCACACTGCTAAACCCTGACCCACACACACACACACACACACAACTCTGTATATATCTAATTAGCCACATACTGAAACTGCTCCACGCTTGCAACGTATAAGCTATTCAAATAAATAACTACAAGCATATGCATTTCAACACATTACATAGGGGAGGAAAAAAAATGCCTCCCCATTGTTTGTCGGATTCCTGCACTTTTACAGAAGGGGCCATTTTTCTTTCATTAAGAAAGAGCTGAGATCCAGCAGCATCTGTACATGAGGCTGGCAATTGTAGAGACTGAATCTCTGGGAATGTGCTGCCGTACAAGAGAAGGGATGGGAGAAACAGCAACAACAAAATAAAAGATCTTTCCAGTGAAGAAAATAGTCCAAGACACTCTTTGTCAAGAAGGGCATGCAGTGCATGCGAGATAAGAGTGTTCTTACCTGCTGCCATGGTAGAATGTGTCCTGGTGTCCCTCTCATCAGATCTTTCAATCACCTCTTCCCCCACCCTCGGGGCTACAGACAGACACACTCAGCGAGCAACACCTGGTTGAAACTGAGGGGAGAGAGAGAGAGAGAGCTGCTCAGCATCTACTGCTATCGCTAGCAAGACCAATCCCTTTGCTCCACTCAGCACAACGATCGCTCAGATAACTTCCTGCACGCTCGTAAACATGTAAAACAAAAACCCCACCAGCCCCGCAAGACAACAGTTGCCAGGCAGGGAAATAAATCAGAATCTGTTTCGCGGTGGCACAATCCCAGGGGAGGTGAGTTCCTTCTGCTTTTCCTCCTCTCTCTCTCTCCCTCTGTTCAATGCTTCAGCAACTGGGCTACAGCGTCTCTAACCTTCTCCAACTCGGAAAGACGGGTGCCATTTAAGTAGCCGTCAGCTGGTTTACCTTGGGGACCCTGTGTCTTATCTCAGCATACACAGCCTTTTCCACCCTAGCAGCATCTGTGATTGTAACATTTAAAGGTGTACACACACACTCAAACACACACAAACACACACACACACAGAGTGCCAGTTTTCTCTTTGTTTCAGAGTCAGCCCCCTTCTTTGCATTCTCCCGGGTGCTGACTGAACACGGTTCTAAAAGGTTACAAAGGTGCCCCTTCGACTGATCTTCCTCCGCCCCTTTACCTGAAAGGAACACTGAAATAACTGACGGGAGTATGCTGCCTACACTGGATTCTCCCAACAAAGAGCTTCCAATGTCTCACAGGGGAAGGAAACAGAGAGAAACTAGCCCCCAAAAATACATTGCGTGGCCCAGATTTTGAGGCTGAGGCACAGGTCTCCTCTGCTCAGTGTGCAATATGAAGGAATGAGACCGCACACTTGAAAAATTAGCTTCTCGAGCCTAGAGAGCTTGTTTGGCAATCAATGTCATTCACTCTTTAAGTAGGTGTTTTTGATCCAAGGGGCAGTTTTTTTTTTCCCACACAGAGGGTGGAGCATATATGGTACAAGCTGCTACAGAACATGGTAGAGGTGTGTACAATTACAACATTTTAAAAACATTTGGGCAACTACATGGATAGGAAAGATTTAGAGAGATATGGGCCAAATGCAGGCAAATGGGACTAGTTCAGTTTTGGAAACTTGTTTGGCATTCACAAGTTGGACTGTAGGGTCTGTTTCTCTGGTGTATCATTTTTTGGAGACCTCTTTCCACACACCAGATGGTGTGTGTGCATGTGTGTGCGTGTGTGTGTGTATGTGACTATATGTCTGTGTGTGCATATGTGACTGTATGTGTGTGTCTGTGTGTTTCGAGGGACAGCAGCAAAATGTGTCTTCAACCAATGAGGTTGAAGATTCCTCACTGAGACGCCCAGAGTCTAACTCAGAAAGAATACATTGCAATATTTAGTTCCAAGGAAAATCACGTGGTAAAAGCAAATTTAGAGAGGGGAGTGTTGTAAACAAAAGAGTGAGGTAAAAAAAGTTTGAAGGAAAAGGTAAAATAAAGTTTTAATTTTTGATTTTTCAGAAAACTCCCGAGACTAATTCAATTTTGACAGAATGGGAATGCACATTTGTAAAGTTAACCTTTGAAGACTAGGGAGATTATTTGGCAGAAATTAAGGTTTATTGAGCTATGGAGGAAACGCTGTCTTCACTTATCATCCTAAGCCTGAATATTGGCCCATCGTGTTCTGTAAAAGCGATAGTGAAACTTTCCTAAGTTCTTGCCCTTTCCTGAGCTCGGCATTCCCTTCAGATTTATCTAGTACCAAATTGCAGTCTACTATTGAATCAGCTTCTCTTTATCTTTCTAGGAAGCAAATTCCACCTTATGACAATGCACTCATAATTTTATTCCTGTTGCCTCTGGTTGTTCCACAGTTCCATTTTATTTACCCAATTGAAACCCTTCACAATTCTGAACATATCTATTACATTTCCTTTTGACTTTCCCTGCTCTAAGTACCATGTACAAGTCACTAAATTTGACCAGTTTTGGTAACGTTGCTCTGACTCCCCTGCATCATCACTCAGCCCTTGATGTGCTTCATAAGGTGTGGCCCCAGAACTGCGAATATTACCCAGCTGAGCTGAGGCTTAACCAGGGTTTTAAGAAGCTTCAAGTATGGCATCTTTGCTTTTCTACTTTATGCCTGTGTCAAATTAGATCCCTAAGTTCTCAGTTTGTCCTGTGACCTTCAAAGTCTCGCGTACATATAGCCCAGATCTCCCTGTTCTGTAGCTCTTTAACACTACACCACTTCGTTTTTCTTGCTTCTCCTTATCCTTCCAGCTGAAATGAATCACTTCACACTTCTCTGCATTAAATTGCATCTGCCATATGTCTTCCCCTTTCACTATGCTCTGTGTTCTCCCCAAGTCTGTCCCTCATCTCCTCGCTGTTTGCAATATTTCTGACATTGCTATATTTTGCTGTATTTCATTGTGCACATTGGAATTATGCTCGACATGCTGAAGACAGCCTAATGGATGTGTGTTGTGAAGAGCAGTGGTTTCAATACTAACCTCTGGGGGGACACCACTGAACACATCTCTCCTGTCTGAAAAAACAGTCATTAAGCACTACTCTCTGTTGTTTTGTCCCGTTTTGTATCTGCCCAGTCATTGCATCTTTAAGTGCACAGCCTTACTAAGCCCACTACGAACTAGTTTTTGCAAGTTCCTATGCACCTTTGTACGGGATCTTGCGTGACCTTGGAAAATTCCAATCCATTTTCCAGCTCACACAATAGAATCATCGAGATGTACAGCACGGAAACAGACCCTTTGGTCCAACACGTCCATGCCGACCAGATGTCCTAAACTAATCTAGTCCCATTTGCCAGCATTTGGCCCATATCCCTCTAAACCCTTCCTATTCATGTCCCCATCCAGATGCATTTTAAGTATTGCAATTGTACCAGCCTTTCCTCACTTTAGAGAATGTTGTGGAGAAAATGCAGGCACAGCAAGATCCCAAAAGCAGCAGTGTGAAAGTGACTAGAAATATACTGTTTTTTGCTTGCAATGTTGATCCAGGAACAAAAATTGGCTAGGGCACAGAGGGTAACTTCCCCGTTGACTTTCACAGTGATATTTTACATTCACCAAAGAGAACAAATGCAGCTTTGGTTTAACATGTCATCCAAAAGCCACCAGCAGTTCTCCCCCACCGCCCCCCACATGTTTAACTAGCGGAGTGAGCCCCAGCTGACAGAACAGCCCAAATGCTGACTTCTTTCATCACCTTCAAACACCTCAACAAAGTCAGTTCAATACAAGTTACCTGGAATAGCTTCTTTATGGCTTTTACTGATTAACTTTACTTTTCCCGAAGCGTTGAATAACCTTGCCCCAGATTTTGTCTCTAAAATATTCTCCATTGCCGTGGTCAGGCTGATTGGCCTATCGATGTCACGCTTATTCGTCCATTTTGGCCAGGCTTCCATTTACATTTACATCCACTCGCTCTCTCACCGCTCCTGTCCCTATGGACGACTGAGATATTGTGGCTAGAAACCACAGTGTTCCACCCTGGGAGCACCCGTGTGGATCAGCTGACCTGAGCTGCATTAAGTGGCCCCTATTTATCTATGTTTCAGTTCTCTAATTTCTCCATTGCACCCTCCTTGACTGTGATATGGACATTCTGCTCTTCTTTCGTGAAGGCATATGCAAAGGACCTCAACTAATCTATCTACCTGCACAATATGATCTGCTTTACCTTCCCTAACTGAGCCCACCCTTCCTTTGATTGGTCGCTTTCTACTTAAGTAAAAAAAACGCACAGAATCTTGGTGTTCTCGTTTACGTTACCCAATAATTTATTCAGATATGTTCTCTTTATCCCTCTGATTAACTCTTTAGGTTCTTGTCCCCATGGTCCCTGTACTCAGATTGAATCAGATTGTATTATGACACAGCAGGGAAGGTTGAAGTGCAGGTGAGCAGTAGAAATAGGGAGTCTACAGTCAGGCATTTCTGTAGCTGAGCTCAAGACCTTGAGATGGTGCGTTGTCTCCCTGGTGCCAGGGTCAAGGATGACTCTGAGCAGGCGCTGGAATGTGCTGCTAGGGAAGATGGTACAAGCAGATACATTAGCAAAGTTTAAGAGGCATTTAGATGGACACAAGAACAGGCAGGGATTGGAGGGAAACAGACCATGTGCCGGCAGATGAGGATTACTTTAGAACAGCATCACATTGGCAGAGACATGTTGGGCTGAAGGGTCTGTTCCTATGCTGTACTGTTCTATGTTCTATGTTGAATGAGCCTCCTTTTCCCGCCTTGTGTTATTCTCCATAGCATCGTCGACACTCTATTCCCCTGAGCAGAATGTGCCCGATATGAACTCAAACTATCTTGACTTGGTGGGTCATCCAAAAGTCTCATTTACTGTTCAAACTCCCAATCTTTGATTCCAATCAATGTGGTTCAGATTCCCCTTCAAATCACAGAAGATGACCAGCTTTGAGGTGAAGATTTTCACGCCCATCTGTTTCAAAATTGTTGGTCATAGTTCCTCAGAATCTAATGATATTGTGATCGCTGTTCCCCAAATGCCCTTTTGCAGAAGGCAATGCCATATTGTTCCAAAGGAATGGATGCCTCATTTATTCTGTCATGGGATATAGGTGTCAGCATATGTCGTTCATTCATGACGTCAAACAAATGCTGGGCCATTTCAGAGGGTAGATAACATCCAAACATATGGCTGTACCGACGACAATATGTTGGGTAGGTTGGACAAGATGACAGACTTCATATGATCCTCAATATTCCCTCTCATTCACTGGAAAAAAAACTTTTGAGAATGTTAGGTCACATTACAGGATATTACCCCCACTTTCCACATTTTAATGTGCTTATAAAATCAACACGAGAAAAACCCAAAAGGTCTCCATCAAATTACAATATCAGCCCATGCACTGAAAATAATTAGAGGTCAATATTACAAACCTCGAAATGGAAGCAATGCCACAGTAAAGCTGTCGATATATTATACTGGGAGCAGTGTCGCCCCCACCTCCCCCCCGACCTCCCCGATGGTCCCCAATACTGTTGATATATTGTACTGGGAGCAGTGCCCCCCACCGATGGTCTCCACTATGTCGATATATTGCACTGGGAGCAGTGCCCCCCCCCGAAGGTCTGCAATACTGTCGATATATTATACTGGGAGCAGTGCCCCCCACGATGGTCCCCAATACTGTCGATATATTATACTGGGAGCAGTGCTCCCCCACCCCCACCCCCCCGATGGTCTCCAATACAGTCGATATAGTATACTGGGAGCAGGGCCCCCCCGATAGTCTCCATTACTGTCGATATATTATATTGGGAGCAGTGCCCCCCGCCACCACCCACCCGATGGTCTCCAATACTGTCGATATATTGTACTGGGAGTAGTGCCCCCGCCGATGGTCTCCAATACTGTCGATATATTAAGTAAAATGACCCCTCTCTGAATGCTCACTGGTGATGATGATATTGATGCATCCTAACGTGGTATGGGAACTGTCCCACTGTTGACTGCAGGAAACTATAGCGAGTCGTGAACACAGCCCCATCCATCATGTCAACCAGCCTCCCATCTATTGACTCCATCTACACTTCTGGCTGTCTCCGTAAAGCAGCCAACACAATCCAGCACCCCTCCAAACCCTGTTATACCCTTTTACACCCTCTTCCATTGGGGAGAAGATATAAACCTTTGAAAACATGTACCAATAATTTCAAGAACTGCTTCTTCCTCACGTATCAGACTTTTGATCGGACTTGTTATATGTTAACATTGATGTTTCTCTGCAACCTCCCTGTAGCTGTAAGATTATTTTCTGCGTTCTCTTATGTTAGCCTGATGTACTTATGTAAGGTATGATTTGGCTGGATACAAAGCAAAACATACTTTTCACTGTATCTTGGTACAATGATAAAATCTCCACTATGAGTGATTTCCTTGGACTAAATACCCTCAGTTAAAAAAAAACCTCATCTCCATCTCCAGCTATCATTTATTCCTTTCCCTCCCCTCCACCCCATCTTCTATATAAAAACCATCCTTTTCCTAGCCACCATCAGTTCTGAAGAAGGGTCACTGGACCCAAAACATTAACTCTGATTTCTCTCCGCAGATGCTGCCAGACCTGTTGAGTTTTTACAGCAATTTCTGTTTTTGTTTCAGATACCCCAGCTTCCAAGGAAGCGGAATATTGCAGGCAGCAGTTCATCCAGATTTCTGCATTTTTAAGTCGCTGTCTGAATGACACAAACTACAGTGAGCACTGTTAGACTGAAACTTGCAGCAAAATTCATCTCAGTCACAAGCATCAAACCTTTCATTGTATGGGTTTAATTTGCATGAGTAGCAAAGTTGTACATAATTGCATAATCTAATAATGGAATCCTTATAAAGGAAACAGTGGGAGACCATCTAGAAACCAAAACTGTAATGTACAACCAGCCGCCAGAGTGTGGGTCTCGCGAGAGAAAACATTATTCCACCGTGAATAATGAGAGTTTGAAATACACTGCCTGGAAATGTGGTGGAAGCAGGTTCAATTGAGTCAGTCAAAGGGGGGTGCTGGATGGTTATTGGGTAGGAGGTGCGTGCAGAGATACATAGCAGGAGATTGGATCTGGGCGATAGAACCAATTCAAGCATGATGGGCCAAATGACCTTCTTCAGCGCTAAAGCAATTCTGTGATTCTGTAAACTCTGCAGAACTTGCAGAGCGGGAAAATAATTGCTGAGGGAAATCCAATACAGATGAAGGTGAGGTGTGAGAAATATCCAGGTCACATGTCACAGGGAACTAGACAAAAATGGGGTACAGGAGCAAAGAAATCTTGAGTACAAATATACAAATCACCATAGTAGCGTCACACATTAGTAAGGCCATTAGGAAAACAAATCAAGTTTGTTTTGAGAATGGAAAGGCAATGCTAAACGTGTATTCGAGGAAGGTTCTGAGGAAGGGTCACCAGAGCTGAAACGTTAACTCTAATTTTTTTCTTCACAGATGCTTCTGAGATTTTCCAGCAACATCTGTTTTTGTTGTGTATTGTACTTTGGTTAGACCTTACTGGACATAGTCTGATCACGTGTTAAAAATATATGTGGGCATTGCCAATGGTGTAAGAAGGATCGTTTATTTTCATTCATGTGATGTAGGCATCGTTAGCTGGGTCAGTATTTATTGCCCGACATAACTGCCTTTGCAAAGGTGGTGATGAACTACCTCCATGAACTGAGATAACAAGGTGTAGAGCTGGATGAACACAGCAGGCCAAGCAGCATCAGAGGAGCAGGAAGGCTGATGTTTCGGGCCTAGACCCTTCATCATACCTCCATGAACTGCTGCTCTCCATGTACTGTAGGTAAACCCCACTGTGCTGTTGGGTTGAGTGTTCCAGGATTTTGACCGAGCAACAGTGAATAAACCATGACATAGTTCCATGTCAGGATGACAACTACCATCTAGAAGGACGAGTAGACTTGGAAATATATTGTCGTTCCTTCACTGTCGCTGGATCAAAATTCTGGAAGTCCCTCCCTAAGGTCATTGTGGGTCAACCCACAACACATGGACTGCAGCGGTTCAAAAAGGCAGCTCACCCCCACCTTCTCAAGGGGCAACTAGGGACGGGCAAGAAATGTCAGCTAAAGCAGTTATACCTTCATCCCTTGAACAAATAAAAAAAAAGACTAAATGAAGAGAAAGTGATGATATAGTGTGTCATGTACTGCTACCTAGAATAGGTACACTGCTAAACAAGACACCAAGCGATAGTTTGGTTCTGAACATTGGAGTAGAAATGTTAGCATTTTCTCAAGAGCTACAACACAAAGAAACTGTGGAGTTGTAGTTAGACCTTACCTGAAGTACGTTCAGTTCTGACCATTGTACCATATATGTTTGCATCGGAGGGAATGCAGACTGGACACCAGGGCTAAAAGGATATGTTACAATGAAAGGTTGCTTAGATTATACCTGTATTCCAGGGGTGACTAACTTTGATTCTGTGGATTGACTTGAGATGTTGGAACAGTTCTCCTCAGAGAAGACAAAGATGACAGGAGATTTGATTAATGTTTTCAAAATGAGGAGGGGTCTGGACGCCCTAAATACAAACTGTTCCATTGGTGGAAGGATGAAGAACAAGAAGGCACAGTGTCAACGTCATAGACGAAAGAAATAGTGGCAACATGAGGAAAGATTTCTTCACACGGCGAGTCTTTGGGGGATCTGGAATATGCTGCATTTGAGTGTGGTCAACAGAGACATTCGAAAGGAAATTGCATCATTATTTGAAAAGCAACATGTGCAGGGTCACAAGGACAAGGTGGGGGAGTGGTACCAGGTGAATTTTCACCACAGAGGGCCAGCATTGACACAATGGGCCAAATCGCCTTCTCCTGTGTTAGAACCATTGTGTGATTCCAT